ATTGGCACATGTTACGTATTATTTTTAGTAGTACTAATATTTTGCAATGTTGTATATATATGAGTTATACTTGTGTTGTGTATGTATATATACATATATGTACATACATATGTATATATATACTATATATTATATTGTATATATATGTAATCCTTATATTTTCCAATGTTTTATATACACACAGTAGGTATTTGTGAATTAGTGTGTTTGTGAATGAATATGCTGGGAACTACATATCATTTTAGCTCATTGATACTTGTAGTTATGATTATCTAGGAAAAGTCAAACAACCTAATTATGAAACAGAGGTTGAGCAAGTAGATAGAATTGAGAAGTTATACCATCACTCAAACTCCAAAAACCAGATGCTGCTAACACCTAGAAGAACTGAGGAGACTCAATGAGATAGGTTGCTTTGTAGCGCTAATAAATATTACATCCACATCTACAAATATCATATCATTATTGGAGCCTTTAAAGCAAAGGGACCCAAATGTTAAAGAAGAAATGTGGTTTGAGGAAAAGATATTCAGGAAACCATCTTAATCTGTGAATTCTACTGCCAGAACAAACTGATGCCCAGTAAGGAACTGTTGATAACCAAACTGGTAAGCCTTCACTGACTGGCTGAAGACGTACTCTAGGCCTCCATAAATACAAAGATTAATTCATCATGAAAGTTTGAGAGACTTCAGCTCCTTCTGCATTCAATACTGCCTTAACCAGTTGGTTTGTTAAGACTTAAGAGTACAGTTATTGGCAAATGGCAGACTTGAAAAAACCCTAAGGCAGTGTGCTGGTCCTGGGACACACTGAACTCAGGGCCTGGGTGCTGTCCCTGAGCTTCTTTGCTCAAGGCAAGTGCCCTGTCACCTGAGCCATAGCTCTACTTCCAGCTTTTTCAGTAGTTTATTGGAGGTAAGAGTGTCATAGACTTTCCTGCTCAGACTGGCTTCAACTATGATCCTCAGATCTCAGCCTCCTGAGTAGCTAGGCTCAACACTACTTTTTCTTTATTTTTCTGGTCATGGGGCTTGAATTCAGGGCCTAAGCACTGTCTCTGAACTCTTCTGCCCAACACTCCTGCTCTACCGCTTTAAGCCCCATCACCACTTCTAGTTTTCTGATGATTAACTGAAGAGTCTCCTGGAATTTCCTGCCCTTTGTCTGGCTTTGAACCGTGATCCTCAGATCTCAGCCTCCTGAGTAGCTAGGATGACAGCATTTGCCACTAGCACTCAGCTTCAATTCCACTTTTTTTTTTTTTTTAAGTCCTAGGGCTTTAACTCACTACCTTGGCACTGTCCCTGAGCCTTTTTGTGTTCAAGGCTAGCACTTTAGTGGTTAGGCCATAGCAGCACTTTTGGCTTTTTTTTGAATAGTTCATTGGAGATAAGAGTCTCGTGGTCTTTTCTGCCTGGGCTGGCTTTGAACCACAATCCTCAGACCTCAGCCTCCTGAGCAGCTAGGATTATAGGCATGAGCCACTGGTGCCTGGCTTCAGCTCCACTTTTAATGACATTTTGCATTCCTTCCAATTAGCATGGCTTTTGAAAGGAACCACCACTCAAATTATTTCTTAGTTTCTCTGCAGCCAATAGATCAATAGGGCCTATTTAAATTTGGTATGTCAAAAATTATTCATGTTTTATTTCATTTCACTATATACTGAGTGCCTACTATGTCTTCAATATCCCATGATAAACAAAGCTCCTAAGGTCAGGAAGCCTAGCAAGAATGACTAAAAGGCAGGCTGTTTATCTGTTCTCCTTTCTCTGACTCGAGATGAGGCATAATTTAATTAAGCATTGTTTAAGAGTGAAGTTTTGATAAGCGATTGGAATGCCATGTGCTTTTCCAGTTCCTTGGAATTCATAATTATTTTCCTAGTTGGTTCATTACATTGTCTGCTCTGTCTTCATACTCTCCAGGGCTCCATTCCTCAAATGTCCAACATGGACCAAATCAACTGTGGTCCTGGGGCAGTATCATCTGATACAAGCATTGCAGCCCAGATTTTGTTTGGTTCAGGTCCCTTTGATTAAGTGTTCTACTCTAGGTTTGTGTCTGATAGTCACAAAACCTGCAATCTCTAAGACAAATGCCTTTTGCTTTGTTTTCAGTTTTTAGTGAAAGTGATAAAGTTTATGAGGAAAAGAATAGACGTTAATACACTAATGGGGCATCTTCATTGTGAGAATAACCATTACAAGTCTAAAGGCCACTTGTAAATACTGTCAACTCACTATTTGCCAAGATCTTATCTAACTGCTGGGCACAATAACAACAACAACAAAGGTCACCACACTGAGTTCAAAAGAGCAGTGTGAGATAATTGAAAGATCATGGACTTTGGAGTCACAAAGATGAGTTACAAAGTCTGTTATGCCCTCACTGTCTGCGTCATTTGAGACAATTTCTTCTCATTTTTAGGTTTGAGTTACCTCACCTCTAAAATGAGAATGAAAGTTTCTTTTTTGAGCCAGGTATGATGGTGTACACTTGTATGTATTTAGGAGGCTGCAATAGGAGGATCATGAGTTCAAGGACAGCTTGGGCTAGATAGTGAGAACTTGTGTGAAATAAAGAAATAGCTCCTATTTACAAATTATATAAAATTTAAAACTACTTGAATTTTTCTGATATGAAAAAATTAATATCAAGTTTCTGATAAATATGGATGTTTGATACATATTAATCTTTTTTCAACGAAAATTTAAGTCACTTAATATGCAGTTTAAACTTAATATTTAGTTATTCAAAAGGCCTGTTATATATTCAATATTCAATATTATATATTCAAAAGGCCAGTTATATAAAGGTAAAGGTGGCACATGATTATAATCCAAGTTCATAATCCAAGCTTCTCTGGGAGGGAGAGAAAAGAGGAACACTGAGACCAGCCCGGCAAAATCCTTAAGACCCTAGTTAAAGCAAACCAAAGCAAAAAAAGAGCTACGATCAAGGTTCAAAAGGAACAGCACCAGTTGGCCCTGAGTTCAAATCCTAGTTAGTACTACACCTCACACCCTCCTTAAAGGAGGTCTGAGTACCTACTATGAAGTGGGTCCTGTGTTAGGCTCTAGGGCTATGATGATGACAAAGACAATTTCTCTTAAGATCCTTTCAATTCAATTTATTTTTAAAAACCTGGCAGTTACTAAAACATATCAATTCAAGCTATTTGCAAGAATTGTGCTTTTGGTGGTATGTGTTGGTACAAGGGAGAATACAAAAATAAAGATAGCAGAGTACTCTGAGCATAAGAATTTTACGCTGAAATTTAGTTTCCCTGTAAAACAGCTTCAAAAGGGAGAAACACAATTGTCCACAAAGATTGCTTCTTCTTTCTTTTTTTTTGGGGGGGGGGGGAAGGTGGGCAGTGGAGGCTAGTCCTGGGGCCTGGGCACTGTTCCTGAGCTTCTGCTCAAAGCCACTTGATCCACAGTACCACTTCTGGCTTTTTCTGCTCTGTCTTCACACTCTCCAGGGCTCCATTCCTCCCCTGGTACTAAGGAATCCAACCCCCAGCTTCGTGCATGCTAGGCAAGCACTCGATCCCGGCTATTTCTTAACCCTTTTAAAAGCCCTTACTACCTCACTCTTTTGTCACCCTCAGCAGGATTTGGCTTCTCAGTTTACCTTGCTACCTGCAAGTCCTGTGAGCTGAAATTCTGACTGCCTGATTTTCTTCTGAGGCCTATCTTTTGAAGGCTTTAAAAAACATTCCACCCATGATTTGTTAAACTGACAAAAGTAAATTTTCCCAGGACAACAACTTAACCAAAAATTAAACTCTGGCGGTGTGGAGCAAGGAGGCATGAAGTTTCTCATAGAAAACAGTGACAAGAAACGTTACCTTTTGTGTGTGTGTGGGGGGGGGGGGGGGGGATGTTTTTTAAGAGGAAAAAGGCAATTGAATGTTCATTGATGACACATACCACTTACTAGCTTTCTAGTTAAATAAGTTAATAAACTATTTCTACAAGGGACTTGTCGCAAAAATCACAAAATGTACTCTGGGCAAAGAATCATGGGGCAAGAATAAAATGTTGTTTCCAATTCCTACATTGAAGCCTGAGTCAGGATTTTTTTTTTTTCCTCCCCTGTTGAACTATAGTTTTCAAAAGCCCAACGCTTGCTTTCTCAGTTGTCAAACGGACCCAATTAATTTGAGCTATCTAAAAATCAAATAACCCCATTTATAACAGACCAAAAAAAAGGGAGGGGGTGAGGGGTATTTACACCTCACTTTGACCATGGTGGCGGAAGGGGTGCTTATTTTTACTTTTGTCACGTTTGAGGGGATAAAAGGGAAAGGCACCATCCAGTTTTTTTTTTTTGGGGGGGGGGGGGGAGACAAAGGAAATGCAAGTCACATCCTTGCCCAGGGACCCACGGTTACCTAACTGCACAGGGGAGTGCGGCCCCAGGGGTTCTGATTTCCTCTACACTATGAAGGGGGCTCTGAACGTCGGGGCTGCGGTCGGGCCGGCCGTGTCCCCCAAACCCCTGCGGACGAGGGGGGTCCCCCATTTCCCCACCCCCCACCTCTACAAGAGAGCCCCAAGAGGGCGGGGCCCCTCGGTGCGCGCGCGCCCTCAGGGCCAGCCCAGCAGTCCTGGGGCTGTTTGCTGAGGAGGCCCGGGACAGGTCACCAGGCTGCCCGGACTATAAAAGGGGTGGCACCGCTCACTCTCGGCCCCTTCAGAGAACAGCGGGCGGCCCCGCGGCGGCCTCCAGCTCCCGCCTCCCCTCCGCGCGCGCCGCAGGCCGCAGGCCGCGTGCCACGTGAGCCGAACGCCCCCTAAGCCCCGCCTCTCTGAGCTGCGCGCGCACATCGGACGCCTGGCCGGCGTCGTGTGACTTGGTCGGCGCGAGCGCTGGCTAGCGCTCTTCTCGCGCCACTTCCGCCGCAACTCTCCTTTTAGGTTCCGGGGCGTCCGAGAGCTCCAGAGAGGGAGGGAGGGAGAAGGGGAGGGGGCGTGGCCCGCGGGTGGTCACGCGCGGCGCGGCGCGGCGCGGCCTGGCCTCCGGGATGGAGGAGGCCGGAGCGGCGGTGGCCGCGACCGGAGAGGCCGAACTGAACTGGTCCCGCCTCAGCGTGTCGACCGAGACGCTGGAGTCCGAGCTGGAGGCGCGCGGCGAGGAGCGGCGCGGCTCCCGGGAAGCGCTGCTGCGGCTGCTGCTGCCTCACAACCGTCTGGCGTCGCTGCCGCGGGCCCTGGGCAGCGGCTTCCCGTACCTGCAGCTGCTGGACGTGAGCGGCAACGCGCTGACGGCGCTCGGGCCCGAGCTGCTGGCGCTGAGCGGCCTGCGCACGCTGCTGGCCCGCAACAACCGGCTCGGCGGGCCCGGCGCGCTGCCCAAGGGCCTGGCGCGGTCGCCGCTCTGCCGCAGCCTCCAGGTGCTCAACCTCAGCGGCAACTGCTTCCAGGAGCTGCCGCCCGAGCTGCTGGAGCTGCGCGCGCTGCACACCCTCAGCCTGGGCGGCAACCAGCTGCAGAGCATCCCGGCCGACATCGAGAACTTGCAGAGGTGAGCGAGAGATGTCCCCGATGGGCCATGTGGGGGGGCGGGCATGTGCCCGGAGGTGGGGGGGGGAGACACCCCGGTCATTTGTCACCTAACTTGTCTTTGCGAGTTCGAGTCCTGCGGGACTCGAAAGACCTATTAAGATGGCAGCCGGGCGCCCGTGGCGCGCGCCTGTAATCCTAGCTACTCTGGAGGCTGCGATCTGAGGATCACGGTTCAGGGCCAACCCCGGCAGGAAAGATAGAATCTCCGATTAAAAGCCCCCAAAGCGCGATGAAGAGCCGGAGCTCAATTGGTAGAGCTCTATCTAGCCTTGAGGGGGGGAAAAATGCCCTGGGATAGCACCTCGGCCCTGAGTTTAGTTAATTAGGCCCTAGGACTGGCCACAGAAAGAAAAGAAACTGCCGATGTCACAGTGTTTCGCCCGGTGCAGATTTCCCAGGAAGGCTTATTTTCTCCTCCTCCTTCTTTCTTCTTCCTTCTTCTTTTTCTTCTTCTTCTTTTTTTTTTTTTTTTTGTCTTGTTTCCTGTCTTTGTTGAATCCCAGGAGTGAGCCGAACAGAGGGGGTGGGGTACTCATTAACGGATGTAAATCTAAGGTCATCACTTCCTTGCTCAAAAATCTCCAGTGGTTTTTCCATGCCTGTAGATCAAAGTGCGTGCCTTTTGCTCTGACCTGCCTCCTTCTTTCCCCTGCAAGTCCAGCAGTAAAGTACCCTTTGTGGAGTTAGTGAACCATGCATTTTCCCAGCACATAGGGGAAATGGCTTGCAGGTTCCGGTGCACGTAGACAACTCTGGCCGAGCCCCTGAATGCATGTAGAACCCCTCAATACACGCACGGGTCCTTTTGCCTGGAGTGTGTTCTTCCACCTGGCAAACTCCTGTTTGTTATTCAAAACCCTTTACTGCTGCTCCCTGAACAATTTGTGCTAAAATACTTAGGTACCACATTTGCCTCGCTATTAATTACAATGCCTTGTCTACAGGAATTCTCTCACCTACTGGACTGATTATTCAATAAATGAGTATTGAATTTAATGGAAGGATGAAGTAGAGATACTGGATACTAAGTGTGCTCTAAAAGCCCCCCCCCCCCTCAGGGGACTAAGAAGTAGAAACAAAATGAGGGTATCTTCGATCTGTAAAAACAGTTTTACCTCCTTTATTGATCTGTCAGAGATAAACCAGGCTGTTTGAGCTGAAGGAACCTTCTGGATAAGTGCAGTAAAAAGAACATTAGTCTGGGAATGAGAACTCTTGGCCTCCCAGCCTGGGGCAAGTTATCTGATACTTCCTAAGGTCTGTTTACTAATCTGCAAAATGAAGCAGTTCATCTGAGTAATTGTCTAGGTGCTGGGTAGGATATGGTAATGTGATCCTATCATTGTGGAGCCTAGATACAAGCAGAGAAACAGACATTTTTAGCCTCATTATTTAATTACAGTAGCTATATGTTCTGTGAAGACTTGCAGAATGACTTGGGGCAAAATAACAGAGAAACTTGACCTGGTTTGGTCCTTGAGCAGGTGATATTTAAATTGAGCTTTTGAAGGAAGAGTATAATTATGGTGTGAAGGTGGTGGAAATCAATCTAGGTAGAAAGAACTGCATGTGAAAGCCCCAGGCTGCTGGATTCAGATTTCATTCTTAGTGCATGGAAGTGCTGTTACTGTCTAGGAGTGGAGTCAGAAGACTGGAAGTGAAAGGCATTTAGAAAGGTGGTCAGTAGTAGTATGAGAAATAGTAGTTTATCAGTGTACTGAAACAAGAAGGTATGAGAGGGAAGAGTTGGGACACAGTGAGAGGTAAAATTGACAGGTCTTGGTTCCTTTTCATTTTAACAGTTACAAACATCTCATTTGAAGTTTGATATAACGAGAAACTCAGGGCAAGGATTTCTATCAGATGGAAAAAGAAGTAGCCAAAATACATGTGCCAGAAGATTAAACCTGGCTTAACAAAGCAATCTGGCAAGTCAAGTGTCTGTGGCTCACACTGGTAAATGGAATCCTAGCTACTTAGGAGGCTGAGATCTGTAGGATGGAGATTCAAAGCAAGCTGGGGCAGTGTTAACAAACATGTTCTCCAAGAACCACTGGCGTCATAATGATAGACATGAAAATAAAGCAGAAGGCAAATTTTACTTCTGTAGAATGATGTACCATCAGCCAGAAATCTGGCAAGCAAGCACACAGAGCAGGCAGATTTCTCCCTTATTTATCCCTAATGCAGAAGGCCCTGTCCCTCTACTCAGATTGGTTGAGGTCAAGTTCACAATCTGCTTGCAATTGGCTAGTTTGAATAGGGTAACATATATTTACATAAGGTGACCATTAAAAGACTTTGAAATAAGATTAACAGTACACAAGTAATTTCAAAACATCCTCAACTTCTGCTATTTCTTGAACAATCTGAGGTGTGTCTTCTGAAATGTGTCTTAATTCCACCTTGGAAAAAGCAGTTAAGACAAAAACCTTACATTTCAAAACTCCTTCCTTATCCCAAAGCAGTCCCTCTTTCACTTTCAAGCCAAGGCAGGAACTTTTAAGTAGCATACTTTGATAGAAAAGACTTTTTTTTCTCACAAGCAGGAAAAGTCTGAGAATCTTATTTCTAATCGATACCCCCTACCCCCACCCCAAAAAAGTTAGAAATGGAGCCTTGGCTCAATTAGTATAGCTTTGAGAAAAAAGTTCAAGCACAGTACCCAGGTCCTGAGTTCAAGCCCCAGAACTGGCACAAAAGAAAGAAAAAAAAGTATGGCTTGTTGCAGTGGTATAAAGTGCTTGCCTAGCATGTTCTAGGTATGAAATGCCCTTAAGTATGGAATATTTAAAATGCCCTGTGGTAGAGCCCAGTCATGGGTGTTCAGTATGTACTTTAAAACTTCTCATGATTCTGTGAGGTGACACATACCTCTAAACAGAGGTTTGGAGAAAGTAAGTCTCAACATAATAAAGCCAGTAAGTGGTGGAACTGGACTTGACCCCTGGGGTCTCTGATATCAAACCCATGAATTTTCCACAGTACAAAGTAGGGCTAGAACATTTTTTGTTGTAGTTTTTTGTTGTTGTTGTTTTGTTTTGTTGCCAGTCATAGGGCCAGAACTCTGGGCCTGGGCGCTGTCCCTCAGCTCTTCAACTTAAGGTTAGCACTCTACCACTTGAGCTACCACGCCACTTCCGGCTTTTTTTTTTGCTTGTGTGGTGCTGAGGAAATTGAACCCAGCGCCTCATGCATGCAAGGCAAGCGCTCTACCACTGAGCCACCTTCCCAGCCCCTAGAACATTTTTTTTGGTAGCATATGTCATCAGGAGGATTGGTCCAAGTCAATCACTGCTTGACCTTATTTTCTGGACCTAGGACTGCTGTCCATGGCTGTTGTTTTTGGCTCAGTAATATGTGGAATTTTTTACACCCATGTTTCTACTTTTTGGTTCTATCCCCTATTTCTCTTTATTGATAGAAACCAGTAAAAGTTTAGACCATGAACTCTGGTTGAATATAGGCCTAAAGGGTAATGCAGAATGATCCCCTAGAGATAAAACCAGCCTTGGTAACAACCTGATCCACCTGCTTCCTTTTACTAGTGAGGAAACTGAGATTACATATTTGTAACTTACTGAAGCCAGGTAGTGTCAGAGTTAGTTTTTGGCTCAGTCTAAAACACTGCTAAGCCTTACCATTGATCGAGCTGCCATTGAGCTAAATGGGTTACTTTTTAAGCCAGGCTTACTATTTTGGAGCATTCCAATATGTAAACTGGACATGAGAGTGTGCACCTGTAATCCCAGATACTCAGAGGATCATGATCCAAGGTAGACACAAGCCACAAGCAAGAGACTCTCAGAAAACCTGAAGCAAAAAGTCTAGAGTTTGTGGCTCAAGTAGTAGAGCAGTAACAAGTACATTGTTCAGAGTTCAGGCCCCAGTTCTGAAAGGAAAGAAGCTAAATGTTATGCACAATATGTGATCTATGAAAACTCGTCCTTTCCCCACCCATCATTGTTCCAGGAAGGAACAGCTGCATTTTCACTCTTCATTTAATGATGTCATTGACTGCTCAGGTTTAGCAGGGAGGTTTTCATAAGCTATTGATACTTTTCCTTGATGGCAAAAATCTTTATAAATAAATATATACATTAGTAATAAATAAAGTTTCTGAAAGTTTGCTTTCAAAGTATAACAAATAAGTAGTGCTGTAAGCCTTATGTTTTCACTTCATGTTCTTGCAGCAAATTACACTGTCAGTGTGAACTGAAGATTGTGAATGTATATTCTGTCCACTAAAATGTGAGACTGTTGTTCAGAAAATAAGTTTGTTTGGCTTTGACATGAATTTCTTTTGCTTTATGTGATGAAAAAGTAGGGATAATTTGTATTTTGACCTATTTCTTCTTCTAAATTCCTCAGTTGGCTTAGACTTTAATTAAGGAAAAACTTAATAATTTATCACCACTGGACAAATTGGAAGTAAATGAAAGAAAGCTTCAGTGCTTCTTGGCATCAGGGTGCTAGATGTTTATGGAGAGGGTTTGAGCCCATTGGTCATTGGTACTTTTCCATAGTCTTTTTTTTGAAGGAATGCCCTTCTTTTTCTGCTACTGGCCTCTCTTTCACTGTTCAGTTTGGCTTTAAAAGCTAAGTACAAGGATTTTTGTCAAAACAGAAGTTAAAAATAACTGCCCTGGAATGTTTGGAAGCTAGTGTATACTAAATGGGTATCTTAGGAAAGAGACAGGCAACTGGAAATGATAAATAGCATGTGGTAAAGTTTGAATAAAAATGCTTGTTCTGGTTTAGATGCGAGTGTGTAGTTAGTGGCTGTCAGTTTGTTTCTACATCTGCCCTTGTAAGGTTTTAGTTTGAGACAAGCCCAGATAATAACATCTAGTCCCCTGTTTCCCTGTGAATGTATACTGTGCTTTAAAGTGCTATGGCAAACAATAAATTTTAAATGATTTAATAGGAAAGACACTGTTATAAATATAGCCTCCAAGAATCACTGGAGTCAGAATGATAGACACAAAAATAAAGAATTTTCTCAATAAGCAAATTTTACTTCTGCAGAAGAGTGTTGGCAAAGCAGGCACACCAATGTGGGCATGCAGCTCCCCTATTTATCCCTAATGTGGAAAGATCCTGCCCCTCTGCTCAGCTTGGTTGAGCTCAAGTTCATAATCTGCTTGCAGTTGGCTAGTTTGAATAGGGTAAGGTGTATTTACATAAAATGACTATTAAAAGACTTTGAAATAAGATTAACAGTACACAAGTAATCTCAAAACATATCCTTACCCTCTAGTATTTCTTGAGCAATCTGAGATGTCTTAATTCCATCTTGGAAAAACCTTGAAAAATCCTTCCTAATTTTTTCCTTTCTGTACTTGTTGATATTGTCTTAGCAGAATAATGGACAAGATCGGAGCCACCTGTCTAAAGAAAGAACTTTCAAGCAACCAACTTTGATCGAAGACAGTTTTTCTCATACTACCTTAAGAAAATTTGATATTTAAATGTATGATTCTTCCTGTACTCGTTACCTGACTTAAGTAACTGTAACCCCTCTGTATATCACCTTAAAAAGTTTGAAATAAAAATGTGAGGTCCAAAAATTTTTTTTTAAATGAGACACTCATCTCAACCAAAAGCTTAAACTGGTGGTGTGTACTTGTGATTCTGAGACATAAGTATGAGATTTGCAATCCAAGGCTGATCCTGACTGAAAAATAACTAATCCAAAATAGGCCTTGAAACATGGCTCCAGTGATTAAGTGAAACTGTGCCTGCCTACCAAGCATAAGGCCTCACATGCAAATCCGTTGTCACCTAAAAACTGGGAGGAATAAGACTGACAATACAAATTTAACATGCTGGTTAACATGATCTGATTGGTTATACCCACCAATTTCAAAAGAGGATTTTGAGTATATCATTTTAAAATGAAGAATACACTCGTGTGTGCACATACACACATAAAGTATCCTTCCCCTTTCCCTTTCTGCTTATTTGTGACTTTACTTTCTGTTTTTGTTTTTTTGGGTCCATTCGTGGGCCTGAACTCTGAGCATGGGCACTGTCCCTCAGCTCTTCAGCTCAAGGCTAGTGCTCTACCACTTGAGTTGTGGCTTTACTTTCTTGGGCTTCAGTTAATAGGTCCACTGTAGTCCAAAAATATTAAATGGAAAATTTCAGAAACAGACATTTCCTAAGTTTAAAATTGCTCTGCCTTCTGTGTAGCATGTTGAAATCTTGAGCCATCCCATCCTAGATGTAGATTGCCTTGCAGCCAGTGTGGCCACTGTGTATGCCACTTAGTAGTCAACAAGATCACAGGATATTTGACTTTAACAATGTCCCCAAATCACCAGAATGGTGATGTTAGCAACTCTAAAGAGAGGCCACAAAATGTTTCCTTAAAGTGAGAAGGTGGAAATTCTCAAGGAAAGAAAAAAATTATATGCCACAGTTGCCATCAGTGATGAGAATGAATCATATGGTTGTGAAATTGTGAGGAAACATACAGAAATTCATACTCGTTTTGCTGTCACCCCAGTGAGGTAGAGAATTTGGTTCTATCCCTGTTTTCAGGAACTGGCTTGGGCCCTTACAGTGTGCTAAGCTGAGAGGCCACTATAATTAAGAGCTCACTAAATGGTATGACACCAGCTGGGAATTCATAAGCAAAGTCACTCACAAGCATCCCATTGGAATGTCACTTGGAGAGCAAATGAAAAGTAGAAAGAGATGAAAAGGAGGTTAGATCCTGAAGTTCAAACTAAGAGAAATCTAAAGAAAATGAAGAATGATAAGAAGACAATGAAGTAATAGTGGCTGAAATTTCAACAATTAAAGAAAAAGCCCTCTAAACTGATATTTGACTCATTGAAGTCAATCTTTAGACCAGTAAAGGGAAAGGGAAAATGCTCAGTGCTCCTAATGAGTAAAGAAAAGAAGCAGAATATCTACAATGGAACAGTAGTACCATTGACTTAATGTGATCATGAAATAGCAACTTCCTAATGCTAAGCTAAGGATAAGTGGCTGTCCTAGAATTTTATGCCCAGCTAACCTAATATTCAAGAGTGAGAGAAGTCGGAAGCCAGTGACTCAAGCATGTGAGGCTGAGAATATGAAGATCTAAGTTTGAGAACAGTTGGGCCTCTTTCTTGGTCACCATGTTCCTCCATCTGAAGAATCACGTCCACGGCCACCTCATTGTCCCTCTTCTTCCCTAGAGCACTTACAGCTCAGCCTTTAGAGAAATGCATTTCCCCTCATTACAGTACAAGCTTCCTCTGAGCAATACTTGATTGCTTGATTACACTGTAACAGTCATACATGGGCATTTTGTTTGTGTGTTTTGAATTGAAAAACATTAATATAAGCAGTAATACAAAGTGATAAAATATAAGCATATATATATATATGTAATGTGACCTTAAAAAGTCGGTTTTGGTGTTTTTTTTTAAAAATGGTTTTGTTGTGATTATAAAGCTGATGTACAGAAAGGTTACAGTTACATAAGTCAGGTAAAGAGTACATTTTTTTGGGGACAGTGTCATCCCTTCCCTTGCTCTCTCTGTTTTTCCCCTCCCATTCCCACCCACAAGTTGTCCAGTTCATTTTCAACATAGTGTCTAGTGAGTACTACTGCTGCATTTGTTCACTCTTTTATCCCTCCATTTCTGTGACATGGGCATTGTGTATGTCATATAGTAATACTGCTCTGAAAGATGATGAAGAAAGTAACTGACTCAGAGTTTGTACAGGTAAATTGTGAAACTAGAATTGAGTGAAAGAAATGCTAACAAAAACAAAAGTGAAGTTAAGGGTGGTGGTACAGTCTCTTGGGACTGAGAAAAGAAGGATTTAAGCTATTAAGGAACACTTTACCAAGGTTTGGATAATCAGGAATTTTGAGTGCAGTATGCTTCTATATATAGAGAGCAAAATTCAACAATTAAAGGGAAGAAGCTAACCAGTAAGAAAGGAAAATAAGAGAAATTCATTGTTTGAATTACTGTTGACAAGTTCAATACACACATAAAGCCATGAACAAATGTAGACTCTACTAGAGGTTAAGAAGGAACAAAGTTATGAAGAAATTTATTTCTACAGGGTTTGAATTCAAGACCTTGCATTGCCAGACAAGTGCTCTGCCACTAAGCCATGTCTTCAACCTTTTCTGCTTTGGCTATAGCATCTTGAGGAGTTGTTTTGTTTGTTTTGTTTTGCTAGAACTGATTGGACACTGATCCTCCTACCTATGGCCTCCTGCCACTTCTTGGGCCCCAAATTAGTGCATGGGGCCTACATCTTGTATGTGTTTTTAAATGTATTCCTGGCAATTCTTACTTTGGGAGTTTAGATAAGAGTTTCCTAGGCTATTTTCTTGCACTTTGAAATTATTTTTATTTTTTTATTATTTATTTATTTTTGCCAGTCGTGGACCTGAACTCTGGGCCTAGGCCCTGTCTCTCAGCTCAAGGCGAGCGCTCTACTGCTTGAGCCACAGCGCCACTTCTGGCTTTTTCTGTTTATATGGTGCTGAGGAATCGAATCCAGGGCCTTATGCATACAAGGCAAGCACTCTACCACTGAGCCACCTTCCCAGCCCTGAAAGTATTTTTAAAAGAATAATCGTTCTCATCAGTAGCAGAGTAATAGAAGACAAAAATAACAGTAATGGAAAAGTTCTGTATATACTCCTTTGTACATTGTCTCTATTTTTGTGTGTATTATATGAACTGATTCTATCCCTGCAAAAGTCGTCTAGAAGGACCCTTTCTACAGCCATTCATTTAATAGCTATGCATGTAATGCATGTGGTCTAAAATACTAATTTGTTAGTAAACAAGATAACTCTGGAACTTTGACTTCACATATAATTTATTCAGCCTCTGAAGAATGAACTCACTAAAACAAGAGCAAAGATGAAATGTAGAGACACCTCAGGTATGAATCGCTGTGTCTTAGTGGTTTTCCGTTGCCTATTATATCAAGCCCACACATACCACATGGAATTCAGTTCTTTGCTTTAAAAAGTGCTCATGGAGCCTTCCAAAGCCTCCTCTGATGTTTCCTCTTCCTCTCAGTGACATGGCTAATTCAGCCTAGTTGTAGTCTCAGCACTTTGGGGAAGCTTTTTCCAATCAGAATTGCTGTGAGTTCTTCCCTTCCTGGCCTGGCCTCCCCTGGCCTGGCCTGGCCTGGCCTGTCCTCTCCTCTCCTTTTATCCTGTATAATTTGTGAATTGTTCTTTTTAATCATGTAATGCTTTATGTTGGGACTTAACATGTATTTAATTACAGCACTGTCTAACATTGGTAGGTCTTGGTTGCTGTGCTATGGTATCCGCTCCCTAAAGACTGGATTATTTCTCTAGAAACTGGATGGCACATAACAAATCTTATTAGGATGTTTCTAAATGAATAGAAGAAATGTGGTAATTACAGTAGACACAGTGGATTATTTTGTCTATTATTTACTTTCTTTTTTGTCTCCATTCATTTCCTTTTGCAGTTTAGAGTGTTTGTATCTTGGAGGAAATTTCATCAAAGAAATCCCACCAGAATTAGCAAATCTGCCTTCTCTGAACTACTTAGTACTATGTGACAACAAAATCCAAAGTGTGCCTCCTCAGCTTTCACAGTGAGTAGTTTCATTCAGCTCATATATATACAGACATATTTGTTTAGAAATTGTCTTAATCCTCCCATGTTTTGTTTATTTTTAATTTAAATTTTTTCATAGTACTGGGGATTGAATTCAGGGCCTTGGGCTTGCTGTACAAGTGCTCTCCTACCTGAGCCAAGCACCTAGCCTATTTTTGCTTTAGTTATTTTTAGGCAGGCTCTCATGGTTTTTGCTGGATGGTGATTCTCCTACCTCTGCCTCCTGTCTAGTCAGGATTACAGGTAGGTAGTACCTTGCATAGTTTGTTGAAATACTATCTAACAAACTTTTACCTGGGCTGGCCTGTAATAGAGATCTTCCCATCTCTGCTTCCAAGTAATGATTACAAGCGTGAGCTACTATTCCTAGCCTTTTATGTTTTATATATAGAAAAAAATTAGGAACCCGGCATGATAGTACATAATTATAACCTAGCACTTGGGAGGCTGAGGCAGCACAGGGGTAGCCTGGGCTACATAGAGATCCTTTCAAAGAGGGAAAAAAAAAGGAATGAGAGAGGAGTGGAGAGAAGGGAGAAATGAAAAAGAACTAGGTAGTCTCAAATTAAACGTCATAATTTTAGCCTAGAGGTTGCTGTGAGTAAGGTTATTTTTAGTGTTCCTTTTTGTTTTGTTTTTTACTTTTGTGGGGGTCCTGTGGCTTGAATGCAGGGCCTACATGATGTCCTTGAGCTTCTTTTGCTCAAGGCTAATGCTCTACCACTTGAGCCACAGTGCCACTTCCAGATTTTTTTGAGTAGTTTATTGACATAAGAATCTTACAGACCTTTCTGCCTGGTCTGGCTTGGAACTGTGATCCTCAGATCTGAGCCTCCTGAGCTAAAGAGTACAGACATGATTCACTAGCACCTGGCTTTTAATGTTATTTTTAAAAGCTCTAGTTTATTCCTCAGTATTTGTTCAGTTTATTTTCTATTACCAAAAATATACAGTATTAATTTGGCATAGATTTCCCAGGTTTTTATGTAACTTGATGATAGGATATGAAGAACTCTTTTAAAAGACTTTGTAACATTCTTACTGTGTCTGAATCCTATTATAACATTCCTATTGTGTCATGAATCTTTAGGTGTCTGAATATAATGTCTCCCAAATCTTAAAATTTAGCATTCACCTCAGCCAGGACATTAGCTTCTCATTTTCCTCCCTTATCCTTCATCATAGTTGTTTATTCTTACAAGGAGCTCTGCACACGGACACACACTCGTGCTCTCCTACCTTTGTAGTAGGCGTGCTGCTCCCAGCCACTGATTCTGTGCTGCCTTCATTCCAGGTTGCATTCCCTTCGTTCCCTCAGTCTTCACAATAACTTGCTGACATACCTGCCTCGAGAGATCCTCAACCTTATTCATTTGGAAGAGCTGAGTTTACGAGGAAATCCATTGGTTGTTCGTTTTGTTAGGGATTTAACCTATGACCCTCCCACTCTCCTGGAATTGGCTGCACGAACCATTAAGATCCGCAATATTTCTTATACTCCCTGTGATCTTCCTGAAAATCTTCTTAGATACTTGAGTTCAGCCAGCAATTGCCCAAACCCAAAATGTGGAGGTAAGTAAATTCAGGGTTTGTGTTTTCTTAGCTATTTTTAAATTTTGAAGATCTAAGTGTTGTTGGGCTTTTGTTTACCGTACTAGATTTGACCTCAGGGCTGCACACCTGCTAAGTAATGGCTGTACCACTAGAGCAATGTCCCCATCCCTTTTTGCTTCACTGATTTTTCAGATAGTCTTGTGCTAACCTGAATCACAATCCTATAGTCTCCCAAATAGCTGAGACCATAGATGTGTGCCACCATACCCAGCTTTTTTGTTGTTGAGATGAACAAGTTAATGAACTTTTTGCTCAATTTGTCTTTGAATTGTAATCCTCTGAATTTCTGCCTCCTGAGTAGCTAGGATTTCAGGTGTGTGCCAACTTCTGGCCTAAGTGTTGTTTTAATGAAGGCTTCTTTTAGAAAAAGAAGATAAAACATTTCACCCTCTTAGTTTTCTTCCTCCCTTCCTTTTCTAAAGTTCTTTTTTGTTTTTTAGCAAGTACTAGGTTTTGAATCTGGACCTTGGATATCACTTAACTGGCACTTCAACATTTGAGCCATGCCTCCAGCCCAGCTTTTTGCTGGTTATTTTGAGGTTGGAGTCCCAGGACTTTTCTGCCCAGGCTGGCTTGAATCATAACTAAGATTACAAGTGTGATCCACAGCTCATGGCTCCTTTTAAAAAATTCTTCTTGTAATATTTTTTGGCTTCATACAAGGAAAATATCTAGGAACTCCCATTTTGTCTAGGAATTATTATAAAGTATGATAAAATATGAAAAAAGTATGATAAAGTGAATAGAAGTATTCAAATCATTTTTAGAATGTCTGGAGACTTCATGTTTACTTGGAGGACATTTTGTATGACTTAACCATTCTTTGTAGCAGTTCCCTTTATAAGGGAGGTGATTAAACATGTGTGAGAGTAAGCCGAATGCATGCCTATTTCAGAATGAATGTACCCTAGAATTTGTAAATTTGTGTTTTAAAATTTGAGTTTAGAGTATTTGGAAAGAAAATAAATGGGCTATTATAGGGCAGAGTAATGTAAATATCCCAAAGGATTCAAAATATTATTAGAAACTAAAGGAGAATGATCTTTTAAAGATCTCCTTCCAGATCTTTGATCTGGGATAAGGCATTCTTGAGAGATTTTGTTAGGTTTTGGAGAAGTGAGACAGGATGGGAGGCTTTTCAAGTCACAGAGCAAAGTGGAGGCAGCACTATGTGGAGCCAAGTGTCACAGTTAGGGCAGTAAGAGAGACAAGCATGAAAGGTCATTGGAGCCTGGTTCTAAAGGACCTGAAGGATCAAGGTGTATGTGCTAATGAGTAGTAGCTCATTTTATTTTGACTTCCTCATAAAATACTAAACAAATCTATTTCAATGGGAGGTATAAAACAGGTTTTAGTGCTGAGAATATATGTCACATGAAGCAAAATAAGGTGAGATTTTCCTCTTAAAATCTTGCCTTAAAACTGTTACAAGAATTAAATTCCTCAAAGATTATTACAAGGTGTAAAAGATACATTGGGTTTAGGAAAGAAAGGATGGCATGGGGCTGAGAAGGTGGCTCAGTGGTAGAGCACTTGCCTTGCATGCATGAGGCCCTGAGTTCGATTCCTCAGCACCACATAAGCAGGAAAAAAAATCCGGAAGTGGTGCTATGGCTCAAGTGGTAGCGTGCTAGCCTTGAGCTGAAGTCCCAGGCCCAGAGTTCAGGCCTCACGACCGGACCCAAAAAAAAAAAAAAAAGAAAGGATGGCATTCTCTGGGCCATTTCTGGCTCCCTACCCTTAGAAGTGGAGGTTGCAGTTTGTGTTCAATTGAATGCTTAAATGTTCCCTGGCCTGGGGTCTCCCTCCCTGTACTGCAGTGGCAGAGGAACACACAGGAACCAAGGCCTTCTGGTCTAAATCTCCTGTCCTTTGCATTCATCCTCTTCTGAATGTGGACCTCTTCACCAATTTCCTTTTCTCTCTCAAAAAACTTCTTAACTGCCTCACCTGTTTTCACTGTATTTGATGTTGGTATAATGTGTGGAGGGGAAGAGAAAAAACAAATCAGTCAAATAGGAATACAGGAGGACCCATTGCAACAATGAGATGTAAAACTCATTATGTTGAAAAATGAACTTTACAACTTTGGTGGGGGGAGTGGGCAGTGGGAAGGGATAGGAAGGGGAAACAAAGGAGGAGACAACAATGCTTGATAAGAAATGTACTCGGGGGCTGGGAAGGTGGCTCAGTGGCAGAGTGCTTGCCTTGCATGCCAGAGGCCCTGGGTTTGATTCCTCAGCACCACATAAGCAAAAAGAAAAAAGCCAGAAATGGCGCTGTGGCTCAAGTGGTAGAGCACTAGCCTTGAGCTGAAGAGCTGAGGGATAGTGCCAGGCCCAGAGTTCAGGCCCCAAGAACGGACCCAAAAAAAAAAAAAAAGAAATGTACTTATTATCTTGCCCATGTAATTGTAACCCCTCTGTATGGTATTTTCACAATTAAAAAAAAAAACCTTTTAAGTTACTGACGTGCCTTAGGAATGCTTTTTAAATTGCTATTTTAAAATTTGAACTCTATAAAATGAATAATTACACTATTTCATAACCCTGAAATGCTTTTTTGAACTATCATTTTATATTTTGTGAGATGTTTTCTCTTTCTATAAATGACAAGGTATGGATTGTACTATTTTGGCACATTGTGATTCCATCATACATCTGTTTTCAGGAAGCTAATAGTTTTTTTTTTTTTTTTTTTTTTTTTTTTATTGTAAAGCTACTATACAGAGGGTCACAGTTACATGAGTGAGGTTATGAGTACACTTCCTCTTGAACATTGTTACCCCCTCCATTGTTTTCCCCCTACCATCCCCTCCCTCCCTCCCTTCCCCGAGGTTCTTTTTTTTTTTTTTTTTTTTGATTGTGATTAAATGATTACATAATTTCAAAGTCACAAGTTCATTCTAACTTCCCTGGAGCAAATTGTCTACCACAGTCTGTAATATATAACAGTGTTCACATGTTATATACCATATTTGTGATCAGCAGCATGAGGATATTTAGTAGTGGTTCAACCAGATGAGCGGGAGTTCTTTGTTTCTTAAGTCCTGTTAGTTTTGTCGTATCACTAACCTTTTGGATTTAGCATCCACTTATGAGGGAGACCATGTACCGTTTGTCTCTTCGTTCTTGGCTTACCTCGCTCAACATGATTCCTTCTAGCTCCATCCATTTCCCTGCAAATGCCATTATTTTGTCATTTCTAATGGCTGCATAATATTCCATTGTGTATAGATACCACAATTTTTGGATCCATTCATCTGTGGTGGGGCACCTAGGTTGTTTCCATATCCTAGCTATTGCGAACAGTGCTGCAATAAACATGGAGGTGCACGTGTCCTTGTATATTGGTTCCTGTTGTTCAGGGTAGATGCCTAGAAGTGGTATGACTGGGTCGTAAGGGAGGTCAATCTTTAGCTTTCTAAGGACCCTCCAGACTGCTTTCCAAAGTGGTTGTATAAGTGTACATTCCCACCAGCAGTGTAATAGGGTTCCTCTTTCTCCACATCCCCTCCAGCATTTGTCGTTGGCTGATTTGTGGATGTGGGACATTCTGACTGGGGTAAGGTGGTATCTCAGGGTTGTCTTTATTTGCATTTCCTTCACCACCAGGGATGATGAACATTTCCTCATGTGTTTCTTTGCCATTTTTATTTCTTCATTTGAGAAGTCCCTCTTTAGTTCCCTTGCCCATTTAGTAATTGGTTTGTTAGGTTTGGGAGGGATTAGTTTCTTGAGTTCCCTGTATATACAGGATGTTAACCCCTTGTCTGATATATTGCTGGTAAATATTTTTTCCCAATTAGTTGGTTGTCTTTCTAGCTTAGTTGCGATAGATTTAGCTGTGCAGAAGCTTTTTATTTTAAGGTAGTCCCATTTGTCGAGTCTCTCTCCAACTTGTTGTGACCCTGGGACTCTGTTCAGGAAGTTCCTTCCTGTGCCTATTAGTTCAAGTGTCTCTCCTACTCTGTCCTGCAGTAGTTTCAGAGATTCAGGTTTAATGTTAAGGTCTTTAATCCATTTTGAGTTGATGTTGGTGCATGGTGATAGGCTGGGGTCCACTTTTAGTTTTCTGCATGTGGCTGCCCAGTTTTCCCAGCACCAGCGGTTGAAGAGGCTGTGTTTCTTCCATTGTATGTCTTTGGCTCCTTTGTCGAATATCAGCTGGCTGTAGGCCTGTGGATTTATATCTGGATCTTCTATTCTGTTCCATTGGTCTTCGGGTCTGTTTTTGTGCCAGTACCATGCTGTCTTTGTGATTATAGCTCTGTAGTAGAGTTTGAAGTTCGGCATGGATAACCCTCCCATATTGTCTTTATCCCCTAGAATTGTTTTGGCTATTCTAGGTCTTTTGTTGTTCCATATAAATTTTTGGACTGTTTTCTGTATTTCAGTGATGTACGTCATTGGGATTTTAATAGGAATTGCATTGAATTTGTATATTAATTTTGGAAGTATCACCATCTTTACTATATTAAGTCGGCCTATCCAGGAGCATGGGAGGTCTTTCCATTTCCTAGTGTCTTCTGCAATTTCTTTCTTTAACTTTTTATAGTTCTCATTAAATAGTTCTTTTACATCTTTGGTTAGGTTAATTCCTAAATATTTTATTTTTTGGGAGGTTATTGTGAATGGGGTTGCTCCCTTTATTTCCCTCTCTTCCTGTGCGTTATCAGTGTATAGGAAGGCAACTGATTTTTGTGGGTTTATTTTGTATCCTGCTATTTTGCCGAAGTGACTTATGATTTCTAAAAGTTTGGGGATGGAGTTTTTGGGATCGTGGAGGTATAGTATCATGTCGTCTGCAAAAAGGGATAGTTTCACTTCTTCTTTCCCTATGCGGATCCCTTTAATGTCTTTTTCTTGCCTTATTGCCCTGGCTAAGGGTTCTAGGACTATGTTGAAGAGGAGTGGAGACAGTGGACATCCTTGCCTTGTTCCTGTTTTTAGGAGGAT